ATATACTCTCTTTCTTGTCCACAAGTCTTAAAGGCTGGAGTCAGCTTCCTCTGACTCTTCAAGTCACTTTTAGCCTACAGAGAAAAGCTGAAATCTGAGAGGAGCAAGAAAAACGTTGTAAGCAAATGATTTTGAGTTACTTTATTTGCTTCTGGGCAGACCCTAAGTTATGTTAAATGAAACTGTATAAATCAGGTTACTGAGGCCAAACTACTCACTTCTCGCTCTACAAGAAGAAAATTGAAAGAAAAGCAGCCAATCACCAACTGTCAATATAATCTGATTTTACAAACCTCAGCAGCAGCAAAGCAACAAAACAGAATACAAACAAATTCTGAAACTTTCTGCTACTTTGCAAATTGCATGTTTAGTATACTGTTCATTTTTCCTAATAAGTTAAAAGTAAAAAGGAGTAAAGTTTGCTTCCCAAAACAGTCTTCATTCTTTTATCTTTTGGAAGAAAACCATAAACCCTCAGGCTATCATAGTTCCTTCAGTTCACAACTGATCAACACTGTTAGTAGCTGGGTGTATGATTTTGAATAATACTGTACCTTTTATCTTGGTCTTCTTGATTATCACTCACTTTGTTAACAGACAACAGCCTTTTATCTCTGGGAACCTGAGAACAACACCAGGCATGGGGTCAGGTAAATGCAACTGTCAGGTACTTGCAGCTTCAGACTGCTCTACAGCAACAACTAGAAAAATGTAACCATATCAGTGTTCACAGATGCCAGGAGCTGTTTTTCTTTGGGAGACCGATTGTGAATGGAAAGATAATTTCCAAAGGGAAAAAATGCAGGGATTGTTTTCTTTTCTAGTTCTTGGGCACACCGGTCTGGAGCAAAGCACTCTTCTATGTGTCCTTGTCTTTGGAACATCAAGCTAGGTCAAGCTATCTCAAAATCAAAGCTTATATTCCCAAACACGCGCACACTTTTCACTGCATAGTAAAAGATGAGAAGGAAGACATGATGCTTTGATGAGCTCTGCATGGAGATCCTTTTAGCTCAGAGAAAAAATGGTTTTCAATTAAACCACAAGCACCAGCTAAGTTCTCCTGTTACAGAGCAGTCTGGAGGGTGCAAGACTCGTACCTAAGGGAAGTCTGTGGATCCTTCCCTTTCCTAGCATGGGGACAGGTCAGGGCATGCTGGCATGTCATCAGAGAACACTGACTCCTGCTTTGCTGAGTGCACCAACAGCCATGAGAAGTAAAAATCCAGTCAAATCTGGCCCCTCAACAGACTCAGAATTGACACCAAGTGACTTAAAAGATTTGTCTTCCCACATACCGATTTCCTGACATCAGCATAGATATGAAATCACCAAGGGCAAAGTTGCTGCCATGATCATATTTTTCTTTTCTTGCTGAACCAGCAATTTGGGAGCTAAAACTTTTATCTTTTACAAAAGCAGGTATATCCACTCCATCACAGCAGTTAACTCAGGATTAAACAGCAAGAATAGACCTAAGAATAGGCTAAACCTCTGCCTTTTTATCTTTAAATACTTCAAAGAAATATAAGTAAAATATCTGAATTTAGAGGAAAAACAATACTACAGTGCACTAGAGTAGCCAAGGTTAACATCAGCCATATCTGCAAGACAGCAGCAGAGTCAGAGAGTGCTAGCCAGAGCCTTTCCTTCTCTTAGGGACATCCTCTGTCCTTATTAAGTGTCCTGCTGGTTAAAAAGCCTCTTTCATATATTTTAGAAGTGGGATCCAAGCCACAGTTTGCACATGTTGGTTTCCCTGCGAAGATCATATATTTATCCCTGAAGGAGAGTCGTCTATGTTTAGGTAAATATCACTACAAGAAAAAGGAGGGAAAAAAACAAAAACAAAAAAAACCCCCACAAACAACAGTTAAGTTCAAATAATTCCTATTGACTGGAAAAAGTACTTCAAAAAAATTACCCAGCATGTCAGAACAAATGAGCCAGATGATAAATAAGGGCAATTCAAGAGAGTCTGGCACACTGGAAGTCGTCCTCTACACTTCCACATTACCGCACAGAGGTTTAAGTTAGGTTTTAAGTTCCTGTTTGAGAGCATTAACAAGAGTTATCCTATTCTCCCAGTTTAAGATAGAAATAGTTATGATTGAATGCTGGAAATGGCTTTGAGATTAACACAGCTTATTCTGTCTGAACCCCAAGTTTTTTGCAACTGTCTGGAACAAGGAACAGACATGTCTCTAGTTTTGAGAAGGAAAAGGGCTGTTGTCTGTTTTTATTAAATCCAGCAGATTAATGAAATGCTACATACAAAGGTATTACTAAGACAGAAGCCAACACTCCAGATGCTCATACACATTCTGAATTTTACAAATCTGCATTAACTTCACAGACTCCAGCACTGTGGTAATTCTGTCAAGTAGAGAAAAGGACCTATCTTCTTCCTCATTGGGAAAAGCTTTTCTCTACTGGCAACAACACACAAAAGCAAGGAACATCTCTTGAGATGTAACCAGTAACGAAATTAAAACAATATTTAACCATAAGGTTGCTATATGGCATCTTGCCTACAACCCCTTCTCCTGAACACTCATTTAATGATTGTAGTAGAGACTAAAAAGATTAGCCCATTCTCTAAAAGCACTTGTACTAATAAACACTAAAAGCAAAGGGGTTTTCCTGCTACTTTCTTCATAAATTATGAGGGGAGCTGGCATTGTTCTGCTGGCTTTCACAGAAGATCGACTGTCCAATGCAAGCATAGGTGGCTTCAGGAGTATTCAGATAGTTTAAGTGAAATCAACAATTTCATACTTCAGTGCTTGGTAAGCAGCATTGATTCCATTTGCAGAGTACAAAGGGGTCAGCCTGGGGTTTTCAGAGTGAAATTTCTGCATTACCCAGAGATGCACCCTGCAGGACTCTCCTCAGAAATCTCAAACATAGCTCTACTTAAACACTATGAAATATATGAAAAAGAAAGGTGGTATCAAAATGGTAGGTCAGGTTCTAAGCCCAGAGCTTTACATAAACTGAAACTGTGCATCAGTGCTTCCCCTCTAAATTGACAGATCTCTGTCTCTGTGTCCAGCTCCATTTCTGTCCTCCACCTTTCTAGTTAGACTGCAAACTTCCAGTGCAAAGGCTAGACCTAACTGTATGGTATACAGCCTACTGCAATCATTATACAAATACAAATAACATGGGAAACTGTCAGATGAGAGATACTCCAGTTAAAGTGCAAACCAAAACGTGTGGAATGAAACAGAAAAGCAGACAAACCTACAGAAGGACAAGGCTTCCCCTTTTCCACTTTTTAAAGAATACTGCAAGTATCTGAGCACAAATAAAAAGGGGGCTAATTCATCCAACGCTCTTGCAAGGGAAGAGGAAGAACACTATATGCTCAAAAAGAAATCATGGTTGCAAATTTAATACAGGAATTCTGATTTTGGTTTTTCTCTCCAGAACTAAACACATCAAAACAGCCTCAGACAGGCTTCCTAAACCAGAAAGGGTGCCTGATGCAAGTATCAGAGAGAAAACAAGATGCAGTGACTTCTGTCTTCGAAAACCAGCTCTTTTGATGCCTCTTACAGTGGTCCCCTGCTAGTGCAGCAGGGAGGAGTAATGATGGAGTTACCTACTTTATAATAGTCATACAATAGGCCAAGAGCAGCAGCACTGTCCTCATCCCCATTTATGCTCATCATAGCCTTGGTAGCTGCTGTTAGGGGATTCTCCAAATACGACTTCCAGGCTTCATCTTCGCTGGTGTAGGCTCGTCTGGTGTTGAATGAAGTGTCATTTGGCACTAAGGCCACAAGTCGCTTGTTACTGCATAGACAGGAAGAATAAAATGGTGATCCAGAAGGGATTACTTTATTCACAAGGCATGTTAAAGAACATCAAATAGCTCAATGAAAGTGATATGATTACATCAAGCAACTCTGTATTAAACTTGGTGACATTAAATATTTATCAGTATTAGGTATCTTTGGTGCTTAAAAAAAAATATGCGTAGATCTCATGATAATAATTCAAATGTATTTTTACTAAAATACAGATACAGCTATCAAAATATTTAAAAACTATTTGGAAAAAAGGAAGTAACAAGAACATTTTGCCCCAGTATTTTTGCTAGATGTACATTTGATTAGGGAAAAATACACTTAACTGAAATCAATTATAATTAGAAGACATGAATGAAAAGAAAAAGCATCTAATACTAACCTAGTGTTCACCTAAGCAGAGCGTAGTTCAGTATTTAATAACTGGGTACACCTTATACTTATAGCTTATAATTGAGCTATTCTCTGTTTTTGGAATGCAATTTGCCCATAATTTCAGAGAGGTTTTCTGTAACAGGACATGAGCAATGGATCCAGTGGATGGAGCAGAAGTAAACATATTTGGTCTCAATTCAGACTTTATCACTCATCACATCTAGTTACAGACCCATGGCAATACACACAGGACTATTAGTAAGTGGGAGTTGCAGCAGAGCAGTTTCCTCCAGCCTGAAATTGGTACAAACTGACCAGTGCCTGTGCATATCACAAGAAAAGTTGCCACACCACAGCTATGGCTGAAATTTCCAGTACAATGGAAACATAAATGAAGATAATAGTACCTGCTTTTGCAAAACGTTCAATACACTTATGGATAAAAGCGCTACCAAAAAAAAAAAAAAAGTTGCATTCCTATTACACAAGATACTAGGCAAACAGATTAGGCAGGGAAATAGTGGAGCGCAGGGTGTGCTGCTTAGTGCATGTTGCAAGAGCACCATCAAGAATTGTGGCTCAAGTTACAAGGATCAGGATGAAACTTTTAGCACATTACACCTTACAAATTTGAAAGCTGCAAAGATGGCAGAATAACTGAATATACTGGCTTAACTGGCAAAACTAGCAGTTATTCCTGGTGACCTTCATAAAATATTTCTTGCCATCTTCTACATAAAAACTGTTCATTATTCAGTCTCTTCTCTCCCCTACCTGCAGTGGTGCCAGCTCCACAGACCTAACCCAACCAACTGCCACTGTTGCACAGAGTGGCATTCAAACACTGTGCAACCAAGCCTTTTATTTGATTTCAGAAATAGGATTTATAAAAGCACAAGTGAACCCACGCAGTGAATGCTCTCAGACGTCAGGAGCCCGTTTTGTGTGGGCCCCAAGCCACAGCAACCAGCAGGCTGGGGCTTCGCCACCTCAGCGTAACCTGCAAAGTGTGTGCTCCGGGCTCCGGTGTTTAAGGAAGAGAAGGGGGGTGGAGGAGATTATCATCTCTATGGTACAGAGCACTGTTTACAAGTTTCTTTATTTAATGAGAAACAAAATAATCCATCTGGTACACAGAACACAGTTTTATGACCTCAGTGGGGGAAGAGAGCATTCTGTAGCCTCGTATCACAAAATACAGCCAACAATTACAGTTCAGATTATATTTTCCTTTAATTTAAAATATCTGGATTTTTAGAAGCTTCCTTTCTTTTCCAAGAGCTTTTCTTTCTGTCTCACCTTTTGCTATCTCTTCTGAAGATTTTTGTCCTTTTTTTCCACATACACATTTGTGGTATTACAGGTTTGCTTCAGCAAGCAAAGCTGAGGAGCCCAAGGAAAGAGAGAACTGCTAGGTCTGCTTGCCTTTTCAATACCTTATTGTTAGCAACTCAAATCAGATTTGCAACAGCCCCGCTGTCTGTGCCAGAGGTAGCTGAGGGCCTGTTCCCACTCTGGAGTAGCCAATTCTCCCTGGCTTAGAGGCAATTATTCCAGGCAAGGATTCTCCTTTCCTCAACAAAGCTCCCCTTCAGCTAAACCCGGGCTATTTTACTGCATGGGCGGCTGCCCATTGCAAAGCACAAAATACCACTCGGTCTCCTTCCTGTAGCAAGCTTCCCTTACAATCAATAACCACCTTTTGTTACTCAGAGTGCTCATAGCCATGCGATAGTCATAACTGATTTATGAGCACTACTGGCAGACTGAGATGCCCTTTAAAAAACACACCTTTTAAGACCTGGGCTGTGCTTGTCTGCAGAATTGCTGGAAGGGAGGAGTCAATCTCTGCTGCTCTTACTTAGTCAAGCAATCTTAAAGCAATGAACAGAATGCTGTCCCTCAGAGGTGTTGTATACAATTGTGCCGGGGAGAAGCTAAAGTAAAGGGGATAAATGCTCTAGGAACAGTCACTCAGTAAGTAAACAGTTGGGACGGCTGGAAAGGCAGAGATGCATAGACCCGCAGCCTCCCCAGCATCATCCCAGATACCGTTTTCTCTAAAACCCAGGCTTTCACATTTAAAAACTAAATATGCGTCTCCTCTGGCTTGAGAGATGGTCTGCAGCATAATCAACTGACACACTCGTTGTGTTTACTCTGCAAACACACTGAAACAATAGCACTAAGAAAAATAAAAAACTTCCTCATCACCCCCATCCCTGTAATCACCTCTGTGGGAGGTTAATGGTCAGACCTAATTTTCATGATTTAACATAGTCAATCATTTCAAAGATTATATCCAAAGCAGTCAGGCAAAACAACTGCGCTCGCTTTAAGAAATCTTCTCTATTAATTAAGGTCGTTTGGAGGGGAGGGAGGGTTTCTTTTAAGAAATGAGGCTTGTGTGTGCACAAGCATTCCCTTTCCTTTTCCATGACCACTGAAACTCCTGGACAATTTTCAGCCAAATGTGACAGAGGGGTAGCAAAGTCCTCCATAACCAGAGGAGAAAAATACTTTATATTTTAATATATGCCAAGAAAACCCAATCTCCTGGGCAAGGCTCTGCACAGGTAAGCTCCCCTGGTCCCATCAGGCACCCTGTGTCACCAGGGCATCCCCAGCTGTTTCAGTTGTGTAACTGATTACAGCAGGCAACTGCCTGGAGGCCAGTAACTCTGGTGGCATCTGGACCATGGCAAAGGCAAGGGGTGACACCCACAAAAAACATAAGAGCTTTTCCACTGGAGAGAGCTGCTCTGAACACCCTACCTGTGAGAAAAGCCTCAGGTGGAACCTGCAACCAGCAACACATCTAAGAATCTCATCAAAAGTTGCAAGTCCATCAGTGACCATGTTCACAGAGAGCCACTCACTTAAGGAATGAAAGTGGGCTAAGATTGTAAGTAGAAGATTCCCGTTCAACCTGGCCAGCAGTATCAGCAAATATCCGCTGTAGCTCCAGGCACATCTTCTAAAATAGCCTGCCAAGGAGTGGAGAACAAGCCCAACTCTGACACTGTGCCCATTCCTTACTCGGGCTAGCCCACCATCCCTCTCTATCTGATAGTCAGGACCTGTGCTAACCAGAACACAGCTAGGAGGCACATGCCTGTACAGGCTAGGAGCACACCATCATTTTACTGTGGAGATACAGCTTAACAACTGAGGATATTTTGTCCCTATAAAGTAGATGTTTCCTTTCAAGCTACCAGTTGAGCTCCTAATTTATGAAAAATGTTTCAATCATTTTATGTTAAACAGTAGTAGGTGGTTATGTATCTTAATTTATAGGTATATGAGGATGAAAGGTAATTGCTGAGGAACAGTCTAGCTTAGGAGCTAGATTGTCCTGAAACTTGAATGTTTATGTCAAGACTAAACTTCAGATGGCTGTTATTTTGCAAGATCATTTCCCCTCCCCCCCCAACTATTTAGTAGAGATTTTCTTGTTTGACCCATCTTATATGGTTTGTGTGCTTTCCTCTTAAGAAAAGATACATACAAGTTTTCCAGATTTATACTAGTTCTAAATCTGGGAAACTGCTATTTTTGAACTTATTTAAAAGGAAGATTATGGAATTTTATAAAACCCTATACATGTGTAGGGTATACATAGACATGTCCAAAACTGCGCTCACTTTGTTTCATTTCAGTTACGGCAGTACAACAACATAAGTTGGAGAGGTACATTATATTTAATGTCAATAAATTAGCTGAATGGAAAGGGCTGGCCTTTCAAGCTCTTCTTCCGATTACAGATAATGAACTTTCAACAGTCAGCACGTGGGGCTATAAAATCCTACTACAGGCAAATTCTTACCCAACTTGATGCAATTTGTGAATTAGCTTACACAGAATCAGAAATGCCCATTAACACACTCATGAACAATGGTGAAAGGTGGCAGGTCTGTGATCAGAGCTTGCTTTTTATTCAGAACCAAGATTTCCTGCCTGCCAGGCTCTCTCAGCCAATTTTGATGCTCAAGAGCTTTCTGTTGAATTGGCAAAGTTCACACAGTCCTCAACATCTTTGCTAATTTTGCCACTGAACATAAAGGAGCCCAATACAGCCATGCTGCATCAAATACAGCTGCATCCTAATCTCCTCCATTGTATGCTCAGCATTACATCCTGATCCAGTTGGTGCAAGTGGGGAACAAGGTCTCATCCTGCATGCCCCCCAACTTTTGCATTGCCCAGGAAATGCACCCCTGAAACACAAAGCAGACTATTAAAAGTGCCAAGGTAGGCGCTCAGACCAGGCGTTTCCTGGGTTTTTTAATTGCTTTTTTGGACATTGCATTTGTTCTTTCAACAAACTTTTTAAAAAAAAGTAAGAATCAAGCTGCTCTATGCATATCCCTGCAGACAACTTTGCCCCCTGATAATGCATTAGGGCTTCCCCCTCCCTGCACAGGCTAGGTGCCGGATGGGAATACAGCAAGCAATGTGTGTGAGGCAGCAGAATGGGAGAAATCCCTATTCCCAGGTTTCAGCCCGGGCCTGAGCCTGCCTGTTCTTACACCTGTGAGACAGGAGTGGCAAGCACATCTGCACAGCATCCTCTGCAAACTGTCCCTTCAGGAGAGGAGATGGGAGGCTTTG